AAAAAAAAAAAAAAGCAATATGCTTGTGCACATACACCAGATACTTTATGTACAATAAAGGAATGGGGAAGAGGTAAATGAAAGAACAGAGAAAACTATACTGTAGTACTCAGGATGTGGTGGAACCAAATTGCAGTCTTCTAATTGAGAATGTATTCTGGGTCTGTAAGACAGAGTTATGGGGTAGGGTTGTTGCAGTTTCCCTCTTTAGTAGACGCTTCCTGTCTGCTGCGGGAACCCGTCACTTGTATCTTCACCTTCCATTTCCAACTGTGCAAGTGTGTCTGTTTCATTGGTTGGCTCTCCATCGCATCGGAATCTGATCTGCCTCATTGACAAACCCCGTCATTCACAATAGGCTTTCGGGGTTTTTTTGTCTTTTTGAGATAGGGTCTCGCTATGCAGTTCAGGCTGGGCTTGAGCCCAGGTCTTGGGCTCACTTTGTAGCCCAGGTCTTGAACTCACAAGGATCCTCCTGTGTCAGCCTCCCAAATGCTGGGATTATAGGCATGCGCTACCACGCCTGGCAACACTTCCTCCTGTCTTTTTTTGGTTTTTGTTTTTTCTGGTGCTGGGGATTGAACCCAGGGACTTGTGCATGCAAGGCCAGAGCTCTACCACTGAGCCACATCCCCAGACCCCACAATAGGCTTCCATTAGTTTCCTAAGTGGTGTGTGCCTCTTAATCTTAAACTGCACCACAGAACCATCCTGCCCTGCCACCTTCACATTAATATGATCATTGTTCTTAGTCTTGACTCCTTCCTTGGGCTTTTCCTCGGCCGTAGCAAGTGCCTGCATCTTCTTAGCTGCTGCTTCACAAAAGAGGTATGAGGTCCACACAGAACAAGCAGACAAGCAGCACCAGGAGCTGCAGAAGAAGGCAGCAGCAGCAGCCGAGGGAGAGGGTGTGCCACATTAACCTTGTAAAGATAGTCTCAATTTTGAAAAATTAAAAAAACATACCTTCTCTTTGAATAGAATAAAACAGAGAGAGAGAGAGAGAGAGAAGTGTTGGAGGGGGATTTCTCCCACAGAGCTGTAAGGCCCCTGTGATGTATTAGAATGGACTTAAAGCTAACCTTGTTGTTTCCCACCTGTGTGATCTTGAATAAGGCACTTAAATTTCACTTGCCTCAGCTTTCACATCTGTAGAATGGGGAAAACAGAGCTATTAGAAGGATCCGTAAGATTACTTGAGGAAAAGAGTTCTGGGAACTGCAAAGTGCTGTCAAAAGAGACCCCGGAAACTGAGTTTGATTGATCTGCTTCCGGGACTACAGAAAGGAATAGGGTCCTTTCCTCCTCACCCGCTGCTGAAATCACAGCGCATGAAGATATCCCAGACAGGACAGAAACTACCACTATGGTCTTGGACCTGCATAGTGGTAGAATACTTTGGCCTTGGCGTTGGCCTGTGACCTCGGGCAGTTATTTAATCAGTCTGAACCTCACAGCTCCCAGGTGTAGAGTGGAAGCAAGAACACCATGCTCAGTGTTCCCATGGCACTGTGCTGAGAAGTGAGTGAGGTAAGGGAGCACCATCCTTGGCCTTACTAATATCACTTATTTTGAGACAGGGTCTCACTACGTAGTTCAGGCTGTCCTTAAACTCATAGCCCAGGCTGGCTTCAAACTCATGGTGACTCTCTCGACTCAGCCTCCCCAGGGCTGGGATTACCGGCGTGAGCCACCACGCCCAGCATCACTTTCGCATTTAACCTTCCCACCTTTCCAACTGTAGAGCTGAAGAAACTGAGGCTGTGAAGGTTAAGCAGCTGGCCCAGTGTCACACCTGGTAAGTGGCAATGTGGTGCTTGGAGCTCAAATCTGGGAGACACCAAAGCCCGGGTTGGTTCTACTGCAGCATGTGGCCTCTGCCTGAAGCTGAGCTTCCTCTAATTCTTTGAGCCCAGTCCTCCTGCCTTTCACCTGCTCAGGGACGACCCCAGCATCTGCGGCCCCCATGGCCTGCGTGGCTGGGTCTGGGGTAGGAGGTGAAGGCACAACATTTTCTAGCAGAGGGAGCCTCCTGCTTCTATCCCTGGCCATCTGCAGGACAGCTGGAGTCCCAAGCCTTTGCTAAAGAGCAGGAGGCACATAAGGCCCTGGGCACCTCTAGCGCACACGCTCAGGCCTGGTGGGCAAGCAGCAGTCTGTGGTCTCACAGGGTTCTAGGATACCACTGTGGCAGCCCTTCAAATGAAAAGACAGAGCCCAGAAACCTCCTCAGGGGTGGGGATGTAGCTCAGTGGCACAAGTGCCTGCCTAGCAAGCATAAGGTCCTGAGTTCGATTCCCAGTACCAATCCCCCCACCAAAATAATTGTCACAGAATCCTCCTCAGACCAGCCCCTGCACCTCTCTGTCCCTCAGCCCAGGCACACTGCAGCCCGCCAGCGTCACCACAGCACTGCTGGCTGAGCAAGCTGCTCCCTGAGGAGCAAGCATCCCCGTCCCACCTTGGTACATGGGCTCGTCCAGGTGGGACCAC